AAACCATCTGAGGACAAGATTAAGGCAGTTTTAGACTGCCAGTTCCAGAGAACCGCAAACAACTACAAAGGTTTTTAGGTTTTGCCAACTTCTATCGTCGGTTTATCAGAAACTACAGCCAGACCGCCCTTCCATTAACTTCTCTGACCTCTGTCAAACGCATTTTTCAGTGGACTCCCGAGGCTCAAGCAGCGTTTGAAAAACTAAAATCCTTGTTTTCCAGAGCACCTGTCCTTATGCAACCTGACCCAGCGAAGCAGTTTATTCTAGAGGTGGATGCTTCAGATTCTGGTGTTGGAGCAGTCCTATCCCAGAGACTTGACTCAGATCAAATGATACACCCTTGTGCATTCTTCTCCCGTAGACTTTCTTCTGCAGAGCAAAATTACGATGTGGGTGACCGAGAGCTTCTGGCCATTAAACTGGCGTTGGAGGAATGGAGGCATTGGCTGGAGGGAGCTGAGCATCCAGTTCTTGTATGGACTGACCACAAGAACCTGGCTTACATCCAGTCAACCAAGCAAGCTAATCCCCGCCAATCCAGGTGGTCAATTTTCTTTTCTCGGTTCAATCTCATCATCTCCTACAGACCCGGATCCAAGAACGTAAAGCCCGATTCTGTCTCTCGTCTCTACTCCGTCGATCATCCCGAGACACCTGAACCTGTTCTTCCGGCTTCCTGCACAGTGGGAGTGGTCAACTGGGAAATCACTGACCTCATCAATTCAGCCCTGGCCACTGAACCCGATCCAGGTAACAGTCCCACTAACCGAACCTATGTTCCATCTTCCGTCAGGTCCCGTCTCATCCAGTGGATGCATGCCGCCAAATTCTCTGCTCATCCAGGAATCAGTAGAACTGTAGCTCTCATCTCTAGACGCTTCTGGTGGCCCACTCTCCACAGGGACGTTAAGGAGTATGTGTTGGCTTGCCCCACATGTGCCCGTAACAAAGCCTCACACCAACCTCCTTCTGGCCTGCTTCAACCGCTTCCTGTTACCTCGCGTCCTTGGTCCCATTTCGCCATAGATTTCGTCACCGGTCTCCCTGTCTCTCGAGGTATGTCCACCATATTCACCATTGTTGACCGTTTCTCGAAGTCCTGCCATCTTATTCCCCTCAGAAAACTTCCCACGGCCTTCCAGACAGCCCAGCTTCTCATCAAGCATGTTTTCCGGTTACACGGCATTCCCCAAGAGATCCTCTCGGACAGAGGCCCGCAGTTCATCTCCCAGGTCTGGAAGGCTTTCTGTTCTGCTCTCGGCTGCAAACCCTCTCTCACCTCTGGTTACCACCCCCAATCGAATGGTCAGACCGAGCGTATGAATCAACAATTGGAATCCA